ACCCTGTTGGCTTCTTCAGAGCTCTACTGAAACTGGCTCGCATTTTACTCTGTACCTGCTCATATTTATATTAATGATTTCCTCAAGAATATGGACCCAATGACTGTAATTTATTTTGCAAATGACTCTATATTTAAAACATCAAACCCGAATATATAAAGAAGGAAAACGCAGTACGACAAAAAGAAGTCAATCAGTAGTTTCGAGAAAAATCACCTAAAGTTGAATGGGGGTAAAACTCTCTAAATGTTTTCAACAAATATCAATGTTTTGGAAGGGAAATCTGCGAAGTCATTGGGTGTGATCCTAAATAATAGGCTCTCTTGGAATATTGCTTATTTAGTAAAGGGCGTCTTAAGTGTGCAACTTTTTGCCCGACCACTAAAAAATTTAATTAGAAAAGATTATTTAATATCAATCTACTACGCTCGATTTCCTTCACTTTTGGCATATGTTGTTATACTGTGTGCAAACTCAACAAATTCCATAAACATTTTTCGTATGCAAAAATGGCGATCAGAATTATATTCAAGTGATTATATTTTTGAAATTTTTAACTCGAAAAATTTATTACTCAGATAATCATCACTTCCACCTCAAATTTGAAAATTATACTAAATGCGTGAAAAATTCTCTTGACCTAAGCTTACATAACATAATTTTAAAACTAAAGTAAAATAGATTTTGATGGAACATTGTTTTTATTTGGTAGCGGAATACAAGCAAGTGATTCTTGATAGTGACCAGTGTGATCGATATCTTCCATTTTTTTGTGTGTATTTTTATTATAAGTAGAAATTTTAATAAATCGACTACAGAATAAAAAGAAAATCTGAAATTTGTAGCAAAGTTTTGCGCGAATTATGAAATGTCATTTGCAGAAAATGTACCTGGACAATTTGTGGAAGAAAAAATGTGTTATATAGATGTAAATATAAAATGACACAACCGTAACTACTATACAGGATCCCCAGTATGTGGCTGAAGTTAGATTTGGATTTGCGAATATTACAGTGGACCGGTTCGTTATTTACCGTAATTTAAAAAACGCATTCCTGCCGGGAAATTTATCACAGCAAATAATAATTTAACTAATATTTTGCAATCTCGAAAAAATCTGACTTTGTCCCAGATGTTCTACCAGACCATTGATTGATGAGCCACTTCGGGGAGCTTCAAAATTATGTATTTCCCAACCACCCTAAAACCTTCGGCAATATATAAAACTACCCCAAATTATGAAATACCAAAAAATTCGTTATATTTATTTCGCAATCTCAAAAAAATCTGACGTTGTCCCATATTCGAATATTTGATTATTTCATTATTAGGGGTAGTTTTATATCTTACCGACAGTTTCAAGGTGGTTTAGTAACACATCATTTTGAAGCTCTGCTAAGTGGCTCTTCAATGGTTTAAATGAATATCTGAGACATGGTCAGATTTTTTTCGATTGCGAAATAAATATATCGAACTTTTGGGTATTTCATAATTGGGGGTAGTTTTATATCCTCCCGACGGTTTCAAGGTAGTTGAGTAAAACATCGTTTTGAAGCTCTCCTATGTGGCCCTTTAATAGTCTAATTCAATATCTGGGACAACGTCAGTTTTTTTTGAGATTCCGAATTAAATAAAACGAATTTTACAGCATTTCATTATTGTCATTATGTCTTGCTTGCTCTTTCAAGGTGGTTGAGCAATATATCTTTTTGAAGCTCTCTTAAGTGGTTCTTCAGTGGTCTGGTTGAACATCTGGAACAACGTCAGATTTTTTCGAGATTGCGAAATATTAATTAAATTATTATTCGGGGTGATGCTAGCGGAAAATGGGTTATTTTCTGTATAACAACATTGAATATGGCTTTTGGTAGTTCCCTTATAATATTTCCGTGCTTACTTTCTCGGCTTTTCCACAGGAATACGTTTTTTTTAATATTCGCAAATCCGAATCCAAATCCTAATCTAACTTCAGCCTCCTATCCCCAGTTATATGAATTATTATGAGTAAATAAAAAAGCTATGTGACGAGTCAATATTGTATTTTTATTGAGTTATTGGAAAGTAAAGCTTTCACTCATAAATATACGAACTTTTTCCAGACAAATAATATCTTTGTTAATATTGTTTGTTTTGTTTGTCATGTAATACTTTTTATGCTATCTCTTCTATCACTTTTATTACACTGACATACTTTTATTTCTTCACCATATGGGTATTTTCTTCCACCAAGGCAATTTACTTTTCCATTCTCCATACAACGGAGAAAATTTTATAGTTAAGTTTTGATAAGTACTTAAATGATAAATGAAGTGTGTATTGAATGGAAAAGGAGTCTTGTTTGTGTTTATACTAAATAAATTGCTGCTGAATCTCGATTTCAAAGAATAATTAAAAAAAATACAAAGTAAGTTTCGAAGGCTTATATAAACAAAAATTGCGGTTTGAAAATCACGCTATTGCATCCGTCTATAGAAAATGTTGAGAATGACGCAGTGATCAGGCTTGCCAAAGTGTCTACGAACTCAATATATCTTTTGGATGAAACTTCTACTAAGCTATCAGAGTTCATGATTAAGCTTAAATGTTCATTGAAGTTTTCCGTGGTTTCTTCAATTGAGATCCGTTGATATAACGTCTTAAGTGTCTTACTGGAGTATGTAAAGGGTAAAGTATGTCCTGTCAGAATAACTAAATATATCAACAGCGAAAATCTGTTGGTGCAATAAAAGTTCCGCCAATAACTAAAACCATGTAATTCGCGATCATCTGCCATAAATTACATCCCAAAATAAACAAGAAATGTTGGTAAAACTGAAATACGTGCCGGTAATTATTTCTAAAATTGGTCGGTTTTCTATTTACGTAAATCGATTCTGGGACCAATTACAACCCACGGACTTCGTTTTGCCTTAATGCTTGCATGATGAACGTTATCTATTTTTGGCCCAAAGATAAATAAATAATTTTAGTAGTAGTAGTTCTAAAAGTTTTCCTTCCGCTTTTATACTATATAACCAAACGAGTAACTAAATAAGTTAGTATTTATCTGTTTCGATAAATATTACAAGGCTTAACCTAAAAAGAAATGACATTGCCCCGTCGATAGCTAGGTACAATTCTATATGCATGTTAAACATCCATTAAATTAGTTAAAGTCGATAAAGACGAATTTTAAAAACACTTCTGTGGTCCGGTGTCAATTGAAATTTTGTGAATATTTCTTTGGCAGATACCAAAGAAGTTACGGATTGCTAAAAAAGGAACTGAACAATTGATGGCCTGTAAGCATACTCCTAGCTGTTTCTAGAATATTCGAAAAACCAGAATGAATTAATTTTTAGAAGGGTTATACCAGATTGCTAATCTGAATTTAGAAAACATTTTAGTATAACTATAGAACTAGCTGGATAGTAAATGATATAAGGTACAATCAGGATCAGGAAAATGGTTCTTGTATGATCATGCTTGGTTTTAGTAAGACGTTTGTCATTGTGGATTATCACAATTTATTATTTTGCATTATTCAAATATCTTGAATTCTAAAATAATTATTTAAATCTCATAAAACATAACTGGTAGATACTGTCGAGTTGAAACTTCATAGAGAATTTGTTGGTATACAAACATCCCAATTTACGTTGGTAAAGCAAGATGTTCAACTTTTTTCATTATATGTGTCTGATATGAATCGGTGCGTGACACATATAAGCTCAAACGATTCTGAAATTCACATATCAATCAATAACCAATGTATCAAAGAAGTTTAAGAAAAACTTAAGACGGATCTTAACAATTTGAATTTATTTGCAACAAATCACAACCTTAAACTTAATTCTTCAAAACTCTCGGTCATTGTTATCAACAAAAATAAGCTTATCCGAGTAAACATATAATAATACTTTAAACAGGAAACTGCATAATAAAATCAAGTAAATCGGCTTATCTAAAAGAGAGGTTCCAACTTGTTTCAAATTCCCAAAGAACAAGGAATAACTCTACTTACATAGTCATTAGCTGTAGAACGTCATCAATTCAGAGAAAATTTACATGCGTGGCAATAAAGATTGGGAATGTCAAAATAAGAAAATAGGAATATCTACACTAAATTAATAAAATCTTACTTACAATAATCATTTCTGATAACATTGCTGTTGGCATTTTTCAATTCTGCATATTCAAAAACATCTTGGTATTCAATTTTGCAGTTAGGGCTTTAGCAATTTTGGAGATATTTAAGCATAAGTATAGACAGTGTTTGTAAGACAGTTCCTATAACCACAATTTGATATTTACCGATAGTGTTAAAGTACTATATTTAAACTTCGATCAATCTCACCAGCCGCTATTCAATGATTTTGAAGTGTTATTCAAGTTGATGTGGTAGAAAAATAAGGACATAATTTGAAAGAACAATTTACCCAATTAGTCAAAATAAGTATTGACATAATTTTAATATTTGGTAGTCTTTCAAATTGTTAAGCGAAAGGTTACACCGAGTGGTGCAGGAAACCTAGGTGTCAAATTCCAAACAAAGGTTAAACGCACTGCATAATGGAACACATTAGAAACGAAACAAGTAATCAAATTGCTGATAGTTATGTATCATATTTAAAAAAATTAATTAAATAACTAAGGTGTTGAAAAAATTGAATCCATTGTCTTATTTCTTCATCTTATTATTTCAATTTTTTTTATATCTCTAAATGTTTGGTTGGTTGACTTAGAACATGAAAACAGAGATTTTTCAACATTCCAATGTTTTTTTGTCACTAATCTCGGTCGAAGCTTCGAAGCTGAAACCTCTCCAAGACGACAAAAGTTATTGTCCATAATTGCCATCCTCAGCCAAAAGGCACGGGCCGTAGGCAAAGATGTACGTCCATTAACCCTGCAAAATCATCCGAAAATCGAGAAGTTATGAATGAAGCTCGGCCGGCAGCTTCGCGGATATTCGTGGGTACCCCGTAATGTTCCGATCAATACTGGCGGAAAACGGGCCGACCAATCCGCGTCTAGCTTGTTGAATATGCGACCAATGGCAAATTGATGTCGCATTTTCAAGCGGCACCCCCACCATTGCGTATTTCATTGATAAGTGTGTGGGTGCTACATGTAGGGGAAGCTACGGTTATATATAGATGTCAGGCGAGAGGGGTGACACATTTTCCCAGCACAGTGGTAGTTATTAACAGTTATCTGGTGAAGTGTGGTGCGTTGAAACTATTAGAGAGAAATTTCAAACCCAATTATGGTGAGTTTAATTAATTTATTAATAAATTAATATGAATTTTATCATTTACGAGGGAAATCAATTTAATAAAATTTAAAATTAGGTGTGATTTTTTTAGGATTAATACGTATAGGCTATTGTTTGGGGCGTGCCCAAACTAAGCTTGGCCATTGTACGAGCTGCTCAAAAAAATATATTGAAAACAAAAAATGCCAAAAATTCAGTATACATTTTTTTCAGTGCGCTATATTTTTAGACCAACATTATTGCCTTGTCGCGATAATAAAAATAATAACGATACCGACAACGCTTGTTGCACGACGACCATATGCTATTTTGAAAAGTCTGTTCAGGTCAGATCATCGTTTCTTTTAGCAATTAATTTTAATAACAAATTTTGCTAAATCACTACAGAATATTTAAAAGTATATGAACGAGTTAATCTCATTTCTGCGTCTAAAATTGCCGGTATAATATACCCATCAAAGGCAATTCCTTTATAGGGCGATATCTTCTGTTATCTCGGTCCCTTCCGTTCTACGTGAATGAACAAAGTGCTTTGGGCTTTGAGTGGGCTTGACAACCTGTTGAGGCGACGTTATTGATCGCCAAAGGATATTATCGCGCCTAAATTAATAGCTGCAGAGTCATAATCTAATCAAGTGATAAAAACCCATTTGCTTAAGCCGGTATCTCCGACAAATATTTTAACGCAACACCAAATGATTATCGTTTATCGAGAGCGATCTCTTTATTCCAGATGGCGTTACAACTCCTGCCAGTCCTCCAAGTTATTGTCATTCTTTTCACGCAGGGAGCTCTGACTTACCCTAACCCAGCGGTATACGGCACCAAACGATACGGCAGATCCGCCGCACATCGAGTATCGTACGATCCTTACGACTCTTACAATTTGAGGGGCCAACCCTATCCTATGAGCTATTACGGGTTTTATCCGGCATACGCCCAAGGATACCCGGATTATTACTACCCACAAGACTCTTACCCCCTGTACTATCCCAGAACTTCCAAATACGAAGTGTACCAAGCCGTGTTACCGTACTACTACAAAGAAACGCCGATGAACGGCCGCAAATTAGACTACTATAACAATTACGGCGATTCTGGTGTCGATTTGCAAGAAAGACTCCTGCAGGATATTGAGAGGGAACAAAGGGAACGATCGCAGCCGATCGGGCACGAAATCAGATACGAAAACGATTACAATAACGACGATCAGAATATTGAGGATATCAATGAGGCTTTTGTTCAAAACCTAGTGGCTTCTCAAATGTACGACGACACCAGCAACGTCCGCAATTACTACGATCCGTATTCTTTCGATTACGATGACGCGCTCAATTTGAATTCCAATGATTATTTAAAATGGGACGACGCGCCGTACGACAGGCCGGTGAGCAAAGAAGACGAAGACGTCAAAGAGCTCAAGGACCTAACCAAGCAGCGGAAGAACAAAAAACATAAACAACGGCAAACCAAGGATAATTCGGACGAAAATATTCATTGGTTCCAAGAGTCGAATTTTAGGAACCAGTATCAGAACCCTACCAAGCGAGCTCAGTTGCAAAATGCGGTCGTCTACACCGACAGGAAACCGATAGTCAAGGTAGTACCGACAACTGAGCAATCAGTGGCGACTACTGGCGCTCCGAAAAGAGACACCAGAGGTCAGAAGGAGGAAGTTTTAATGAGGCCGGCCACGCCCGTCAGGCATCCATTTTCCAATTCCGTTTTGGACATGATCTCGAAGCAAGATGGGGAGCGCAAAAGGTCTCCTTCGGTGTATGACACGATCAAGCATATGCTAGAAGTGGAGAAGAGCTACGAAGAGGTAAGTAAACGTGAATGCTATTCTAGCGAGTTTTTTTTTTAAGCGACGAGAAATGGCAGCTCAGTTTTATTTCAAAAGAGTTTTCGAATTTTGTATTACTTCGTTTCAATGCGAAAAGATGTTTAAATGTTAGGATGATTCAGGAAGATGGTTTTGCATACGAAAGATTTTTTGCCAGAGGCGATATATGCAGGTGAATAACAGGACGTGGCGTGTATGTTTTCTCAGCATTGCGTCGGCTATTTCTCACGTTAAAATACTCGAGCCCGAAATAACAACTTCTGGCGATGTTACTTTTGCCTATAGCGCTTTTAAACATTCAATATGCCCTTTGTGAAGTGAAACTTTACTTTTTTAATGGGTTCGATTATATTGTTTCTTTGATCGTGTTTGAGGAACATTTTTTAAGCTGCAACTAGTAGAGTCATCACACTGTCCTTTTTGAGGGATTTATAGAATTTTGGCACATAAAAAATTAAAAACCAAATGAATTGCTACTTGCGTTGCAAATCAACAACTAAAGTTTTTTTTTTTGGTTGGTCATGTGCTAATAAATATGAAAAATAGTAAAAGTCCTAGTACACATTTTGTTTTCTAAAAAAACCATTACAAAAACATAACACATATATAATACTCAAAAGTATGGATTGCTACATTTAAGAGGATAGATGGATATATTCTTTATTTGATTTCGTTAACATACAATCTGCATATTTTACAGCACGTCCAATTACAAAAAAAAATGCATACAATTCGATGAAATCTGTTATAAACAGGTATAATAACATATCGCATAACGTACATAACATGTTTGTATGAGAACAACGTTTTTTAAAAAAATGTTTTATTTTGACTTTACAAATTTTTTCTACTCCCGTCTGTAAAATACCGAATTACACACCGATCTAGCGTGCGGGAAGCGTCACTTTACCACGTCTGTTTCGTTTCCCATGGATCCGAGCCACTTCGGACATTTCCGCGGTTTTACGTTTTACCGCACGGGTTCGCGAGCAATCGGATGTTTTCGGTGACATTTGCCACCCCTTCGTGTTGTTTTGCAAAAATGAACTGAAAAACTAAGGGGCGTGGAAAAAGTATTGTATGCAACACATTTGGTAAACTTTTTAAGGCACTCGTTTATTAAAGACTCGCTCCGCTGGGCTTTGCTCGTGCCAAACAAACTCGTGACTCAAATGTCTTTTACTACACTTTGCGCATAATATACTATAAATGACAAATTTGTCAGCTGAATTGGAATTAGGGTATATAAGCTTAGGTCAAAAGAAGTTTTCACTCGTTTAGTGTATTTAAACTTCCTGGTTCGAAGCGAATTTGAAGAGAAAGTAATGATTATCTGAGTTACAGATTTTTCGAGTTTTGAAGTTATGAGGTAGTCGTATAATGATGGCAATACCTCTAAGTTTCTGTAACGTAGGTTGACAATGGTCTCTATTTCCTGGATATAATCATAATCGTCCTTTTCTGTATAAGAAAAATTTTTATGGAGTCTGTTGAGTTTCCTCACAGTGTAAGAGCTTATACCAAAATTAAATGAAAAAGAGGGTAGCAGCTCCAAGCTAGATAATCTTTTGTCGCAGCGAGATGGCTAAGATAAAAGCGGCTTTTCATAATTTTTAAACTTGACACATTACCGGGATCTGTATTACCCACAACATTCGCAGAGTATAAAAATTGAAATTACGTTTTAACACTTTTCTAATTAAATTTGTCAGTCGTTGAACGTTATTTAATTTTAGGCGATTGGCCATAAACCATTGACTGGCATTTGCCGACTGTGTTGCCCCTCGAAGAGTTTCCATATTGTCGTTTGATGTTTTAAATAATAACAATAATAGTAATAAAGGTCTTTATTTGAATTATATAGAATATAACAATAACAAGATAACATTTTGGCAAAAAGGCGAGATTCAGTCTATTAAAGATTAGTATACTGTTCTATCTAACCCGATAAAAGAGAGAAAAAAAAGTACATGAATTTCCATTTTATAAGTTGTAAACAAAAAAAATCATTGGTGTACCCGCGAAAATCAAACGCAAAGTAAGAATAATTAAAGCAATATTTCATTACATGTAGCGCACACAATTACCAAGAAATTTCCTTAATTTGCTCATCCAGTAGTCTCTGAAAAAGGTTAGTTTTGAATCGTTTTAGGTTGCTTAAATTTTTGAATTTATTTGGCAAATTATATAAACATGAAACAATATTATTTGAAAAGAGCGTATAAAAATTTCAGTTGCATGCATTGGCGGAGCAAGCGTTCCCTTAAATCGTATATTAAGATTATGTACGTCACAGCTTATTTTATTGAAAAGGTACGGACGAGGCTTTCTACTTAGTATTTTTGAATATAGAACGACAGAATGAAGAAATATTCTATTTTTCATATTTTGTCAATTAACTCTTTGAAGTGTGTGACTAATTCTGTCGAACTTTCGGTTCCCAAAAATCAACCTGAGACATGAGTTTTGAAGCTTTTGAATTCGGCGTTTATCAAAATAGTTTAAGCAAGGGCCATACACTGCATCCCCGTAACTTAGTTGAGAAGAAACCAGAGACTCACACAGCATTGTTCTATGTTTCCTGCTTAAAAATTCACGATTTCGATATATAAATTTTAACATGAAATATGCCTTTCGTAAACATTTAGAAATATGCTCTGAAAATCTTAAATTCTTGTCCATTATCATTCCTAAGTTTCTCACAGAATCACAAAACTTATTTTTTTTATTATTAATCTCCATGGCATGGCAACCCAATAAAAATCTCTCCCTGTCACCCTTTCGGCCAAAAATGATTACTGCGGATTTGCTAGCGCTTAATTGTAAACAATGCTTAGTAGACATTTCATAAACTATGTTCAAGTCATAGTTTAGGGCTGCAACGGGTTGCTTAGCTTCGCCGGGAAAAAGAAAGGTAAATTTGTGTATCGTCTGCATAATAATGTTGACAACTTGACAACTTGGAAAACGAGAGCCATATACAATAAAGTAAGGCGGTCCTAAAATAGATCCCTGAGGTATACCTTCATTAGCATTTAAGAATGAAGAAGTTACACCATTATATGTTACCGCTTGGGATCGGTGTTGTAGTTGTAGTCGTCTGCAAAATTAACTCCAGCCACAGGGTCCATATGATCGAACAGATCATTAATATAAACTTAAAACAATAATGGAGGTCCACAATAGAGCCCTGTGGGACTCCGTGCATCACCATTCGTAAACTTGATATTTCAATATTGCAAAAAGCTGCTTGCTTTCTATCAGAAAGATAAGATATTAGACCCAGTGCGATGGGTTCCAAACACACTAATCTAGGTTTTCCAGTATAATGTGATATACAAAAAACAATGTTATGAAAATGTCGGTAAGTGCAGGTGATATTTTGTGTTTTTAACGCATGTATTGCAGTAAAACATACAGTCCTTTTTTTGGTTTAAATATTGTATCAATGTTTAGTTGTGAGGATGGATAGGACTGTATCATTACCCTTGTACCTTTTCATTGTAATTAAATTTATTACTTAATTATTTTCATTTTTAATTATCTCTTGCTCTCGTGCTCCTCTCAATTATTTAATAATTAAGTTTTATAAACCGGGAAACTCACTTTCATTGTGTTGGACAATACCGAGCGGAGTAATTGACTAATGAAGCGTAACAATAACGATCGTCTTTTTTTAAATACCCGCAGAATACGTTATTTGTACTCCTGTTACGTCACTGGTAAAAAAATATTTCCCTAACCACGCAATGAAACAGAACTAGCGAGTCTTTATAAGTTTGTTTACCGTTGACGACGCTGAATCTAATTCCCGCATATATTTGCCGACAAACAAAACCATTCGCGTTTGGTGACGTCAGATGCGACGAGGATCGGGAATGATGTAGTTTCGAAAATTTCTTGGCACCGAGCCAGGATTTCGTCAGGAGGTTATTTAGTGCACCGCGGCCGTTATGAATGGAAGGAATAGCGGGAAAGGAAATAAAAAAAAATCGTTACAGGCTTCTTCCTCTTAAAATCCAATCTTAATTATAGAAATTACTTATACGATGGTATTCCTGAGGTATGCTTTTCCGTAACTTTGTCCGTCTTAGGACTGTAAATTAGAAAGGTGATATGCTTTTGGATGGGATTATCCAAGGGTGGTCATTAACATACAATGCAACAAGATTATTACCTAAAGTTTCGGAATTTAAATTCAGGTTGTGGTCCGTAAGAGAAAATAATTTTATACCTACCTGTGTTTAATATTCTTTGGTTTGGTATACTACTTAGTTGAAATTTATTAGTAATCATTCTTATTTCGTGTGTAATACAGCGTGTGTTGAATCGTGTGCGAATTATGCAAAATATGTGCGAGTCTAGTGTATCACAGGAGATGCTCCCGTCCAAATGTAGAAAACACTATTCTATTGAGACTAAGGAAGTTATAAACAATGTTTATTTGACTTTCATTGAACGTGGTGTCAGAAAGCAAGCATCTTTAGAAGAAACGGCCACATTGACGAAAACTCCAACATCAACTGTATGGAAAATTGTGAATAATCCCATTCCAGCGAGAAAAAAAAGAAGCGATGCTGACAATTTCTCGAGTTTTGATGAAAATGATCAAGATATAATGCGGCGTAAAATTTACCAGTTATACGAGAAACAAACCGCGCCTACATTAGATATCTTAATTAGGAGGCTTGAAAACGATGAAACCGGTGTTAAATGTGGCAAAAATCACATTTGATAAAGACACGGGGTCGAAACTATTATTAACATCTGAACTTTTAGTTCTTATTTATTTTGTTAAATGGATTTTCATCAAGTAAAAGCCGCCTCATTTCAATTTATGAAAGAAGCTGAAATTGGTTTCTTGGCTATTTGGTATTTCAAAAGGCATTAGGCAGTTGAATATTGAGTATAACATATTCCGGGATATCATCCGTTCGCTTGTTGAACTCCAACTGAACTGAAATTCAATGCTCGCGCTCCGAAAACAGTTCGAAAGGTGCCAAGTGAGATTTTAGCGAAACGTCTGCAGGATTTCAGTCGGAGTTCAACAAACGGACGGATGATATCCCGGAATATATTGTCAACATATTTTTCCATCCTTGAATCAATACGTGAATATACGCATACACACGAATATACACATACACACGACTCAACCTCTATCCTACTACTTCGATATAATTAACTTACAACATTATAATTAAATCATTACAAACAAAGAGAGAGCTTTCTCACAGTGAATGCAAACAACTATCGATCAATTCATCCCTTCCAAAGTTGTACTGTTTGCCTTAGATTAACTCGGTTAGGTACAACATATCGAGATTTATGGCCAATATCCTTAAAATTACGTTTACAAACAAAAATGATTATAATGTAAAAGATTCATTTACCTTTGCCAACATGATCAACGGTTACGTACTACCTGACAATTATGTTTTGATTTCATTGGATGTCGTATCGCTATTTACTAATATCCTCTCGAATTGGTATTTCAGATTTTGGATAATGAATGGAAGAAGATAAAAGAACACACTAATCTTACAAAGGAAAATGTTTTTAAACTTATAAAATTTATTTTTGACAACACATATTTCAGTTTCAATTCAAAATTCTACAAACAATGGGTTCTTCCATCAGTCCAATAATTGCTACCCTAGTATTGGACCATTTACTCTATCAAATTATACCCAAATTACCTTCCACTTTACCTTTTATTTTTAAATATGTTGACGATCTTCTTTGCGCGGTACCATACAATTCACAATTGAACTTGAAAAGGTCTCATACGTCCCCTTCTTAGACACCAAGGTTATTAGAACTAACAAAAATGAAATTGTTTTGGATTGGTACCAGAAAGAAACTGCCTCAGATAGATTTATCAATTATTATTCCTCTCATCCACAGAGCCAAAAATATAATGAAATTATACGCATAAAAAACAGAGTTACATATTTGAATCATGAAAGTTTTGTTCAAGATAACCTGAAAAAATTTTCAACATTTTTGTCAATAACATATACTAAAGAGATTAAACTATAACTTCAACACATTTGACAGTCCAACAGAGGAACCAGGCGCTCGGATGTGTTACAGAGAGATAGATACCTTATATTAAAAATCTTACAGAATCTATCATAAATATTTTCAAAGAATTCAAGGAAATAAAAATTGCCAAATATAACACTGAAAAGGTCTCAAAACTTTTTTCTAGGGTCAAAGAACCAACTCCGCTACTATACAACTCTCATGTCATTTTTCAATTGTCGTGTTTGGGTTGTCAATTCTGTTATATTGGACAGATCTCACAGTGGTTGAAACAACGTTTGACACAACAAAAAACTGATTGCCGTATTCATAAGAGTACTTGTGCAGTGGTTGAACATTACATAAAAACAGGGCATGAATTTGACTACAGCCATCCTAAAATATTGCAATATGTCAATAATTATAAAGACCGACTGTTTCTTGAAATGTGGCGTATTAACAAAAACAAAAATTCAATGAACTACAAGTCTGATACACGGAAAATAAGCAATATATACTGTAACAGTTTTCAGTTGCACAACAGATAATATAATATTCGGCCACCGAGTAGTGTATTCGCGTTGCTTCGTTGATCCAGGTTATTTTTATGTTTTTTTGCCATTATTTATTTCGATTGTTTTTTTGTCTTTTCTCTACCCGCGTTAGCGCAACTTTTGCCTACCATTATTAAAAATTTTATAAAAAGTGTTTATCCGTTTGTTTCGTTATGTCGTTTCGTTCATTAACCTTAACTGTAGAGTATTGTTTTGAGAAACTTTGTGGTAAACTCTAATTTTGTAAGTAATTTTCACGATTGTGTTTTAATTTTCTGTTATATAGTGTGGCCTGTTGTTTTCATTAAATTTTAGTTCACTCCTGAAGAAGTCAACAACTAAATTGACGAAATATTGAGTGTTAAAGAATAAGAAAGAAAAACTAAATATATTATAAATTTTTATAAAAAAAAGCATCATGAGACTTGATACACATCCATAGAAACAGTATAAAATATTAGTGTGAAATAGTATAAAATAAGTATATATTTAATAGATAAATGCAATGGAAATAGTAAACAAATGTAAATACTTTGAATTAACAAATATCTTTGGTTGTAACTGTTTGTAATTTGAAAGCGTAAGCATTCGAATTAAATGCTGAAAATCAATCCAAGTCTAGTTCTTTAATCGATCTCGCGATCGCAAATTTGCCGTAACTTCATTTCCTTGTTTCAGAACCAGCCGAAGGAAGAGATTCGTCCAACAATGCGTAAACGTATCATCTCGAGCGAGGATAGCTTAACCAAGCAACTAACACTTTTGAAAAAGGTACACTAAATTCTAAAAGCAGATGTTTCAAATCAAAACGCGTGGTATACACCCACATTCCACTGATAATGTTTTAAAAATTTAAACTACAGAGTACCATATTTTTTGTTGCTCGAAGTTTGTATTGTTACGAGTGCATCTGGAAGAAGCGCGCAGGTCCAAGACTGATCATAAGTATTAAGAGAATGCGACAAATTCTAGGCTTGATAATTTAATCCTTCCATGCGTAGAAATATGAATCTGTGTATATATTTCTAGATGTAAATGTATATTTATAATACTTAATCAATATTCAGGTAGAAGTGTATATAACTGATTTAGAATAAACAAATTACGTTATAAACGGTAAGGTGCTTGCTGAATATATTCTTACGTACTCTATAAACACTTGTTTTCAAAACTATGTACGAATCACTCACTATTCTTCTTCTTTAGTCGCCAATATGCAAAGTAGTTCTCTAAATAGCAGCTGGTTGTCTGAAAACTTATGTACATAGAGTGGTTAGGTAATTTGATAGTTGTTTACCATACATTTACATATAATCGACTTTGTTGCGTTCACTTGCCACGTGACTATCTCAGGTATTTCTATATTAGCTTTAATTATAAAACCCGGTTTGCGACAACTAGAAAAAAGTGTTCGGCGGTGAAAAGACATCCTTCGGTACGGCAAAATATAAGTTTTGACTAGCGGTTCGTAAGGTAAGCCTAGTCAAATATGACTTAAAAAAGGGATAAAAATATGCAAGGAAGAGGAATGGGAGTTTACTGAACCAACAAAATTATCATTTAACGCAATAGCTTGTGGGACGGGAGGCATAAAACGTAGTGTGTGCTGTTGCATCACCAAATAGTAACTTCTTTGTGCCATAGCAGTAGCTTCAGAAATTCATCGAATCATTGAAGCAATGGCATGTGTTACGTTTTATTTATTCCACTCATAGTCAGGCAAATGCAAGGAATCAAGTTCGGAACTAACCAACCAACAAATTTCGTTGTTTCCTCTTTCTTATGAGATGTCACGTTTTCTAAAGTCTCGACCCGCGAGATGAGTTCGTATTATTGGGTGTACTTCGTTACTGGTTATGGAATTATTGCAGATCAAACCTGTGATACAGAGAAACAAGGACTGCGCTTTTTAGTATGTCTAGAAACATTTCCATTAACTTCCATTCAATCTTCGAACCCTATAAAGTAAATTTCCTTAGATGGCACGTTAGGATTATAACCGCACATACATTAGAGTACCATAAACTGCGGATGTTATTAGATAGTTCGCTTTGCTAACCAACTACTTAAACGGTGCTGAAAATTAATTGCTTTAAAATTTTTCACGCTAGTGATCAATGTCTGTGAAATTAATGTTAGCTTTTTCAATTTAAACTTTATGAACTCCGTTTGACGACAAACTGGAATCTCGTGAGCGCCTTTTATGCTTCACATGCACGTGTTTCAATATTTCAAGATGGGATTTATAGTCAGGATATTGCAAAGATTTTGCGAGCCTGTGTTGCTTTTGACATTGATTTCTCTGTGTAGGGTAATAGGTGAAACACATTTTCCAGTTTATAGTTAAAGGGATCGACATCGCCTTGCTACTAGGTAATACATTTAAGCCGTATATGTTTAAAGTTAGGCATATAAATCAAATTAAGAATTAGAAAATACAGGGTCAATATTTCTTAACATAATTCGATTCTGTGAGTGGATCTTTTGCAATTCAATCTGGGTAAGATGGCGCTGACGTCACTGGAACCTGTAAAAAGTATTATAAAAATAAGAGACCAAAGTTGTTTAGATTCATTTCAATTTTATATATATACAGGATGATTATAAAAACAAGTAACAACATTCTTATTCTAAATAAAACAAGCTGTAAATTAAACCAGAAGTGACCGAACGGTCCGTGTTGATATTATAAAAATACGGGGTGGTTAAAACTTACATTAAAATTTTGCAAAAAATTTTCGTTGTCATTTTAGCATTAAGACAAATCTGTCTTTGTATAGAGTTAAAAAAGTAGCATATTGTGACGTATTTTTTAAATTTTAATGCAAAACATTCTAATATTATGAAAATGGGGTGAATCTATTTGAAAAAAAAAACTTTAATTTTTGACAACCCTGTATGGATTGTTAAATATCAACTATCACCAATAAAATAAAAGAAATTCAATTCCAAATATTTCCACCAAAGAAACATCCAAATAGAAATAGAAATATTACTTATTTTTCAAAACTCCTTTGGACTGGCAACTACATCTTCCTCCTTTTGGTTGGGGTCCTTTGAGGTACACCTTCGATCGATATTCACCCATAAAAATAAACAAAATGTGCTGTTTTAAACTCGAAAACAATTTCTTACCAAAATCAAAACCTAAGAAACTAACAAGTGACGTCACGAGCAAGGGGCGTTTCCTGAGTTATAACGTTAACATTTTAATGTCAGAGGCTCAATATATCTTTCTCAAGGTGTCGTCTGTTTTAAAGGGTAGCAAAATTCGCGTAATAGCTTTGAAGTTTAGATAGGATTAGATAGCTTATTGAAAAACTTAATTTGAAAGTATGGCTTAAGCTGATACGATGGAATATGACAATAAAACACAAAAGAGAAAGTTGCATTAAAACAAAGTCGACGTATTTTAATATAAACCTGAGAAACGCGGAGTCTCGTAATGATATGCTGTGATGTAAAGGAAAATGTTTGAAATTATTGGGACGTTTAAAATAATGGCAACGCAATACCGGATGTATTATTTATAAAAATTGGAGCGATCGGTATCATCAAAAATGAAATGCGTCGACGTTATTTTAAATATACCCCCAACTTTTATTTCCGAAAAACCTATTAAAAGCCGTTCAAGGAAATGCAGCACACGCGACGATTTCCGTGAATGCCACGAATTCTGGCGAAAACTTATAATTATTCAGTAGGCTTCATGGAAAACTTACTTATGTAGATTAAGGGAAGAGTTATTTGTTAAAATTGTTAAGCGTCACTCGGTCAGCTGCGGGAAATGAAAGCGTTTCACAGAACTGTCCAATCCTGAGCAAACTTTTAGAGCGAATGAATAACGTTTTCGTTTTCAGCAGTTAGAACGGCGTGGTCGTCTGTTCAAGGTCGGTCGAATAAAATATTCGAATGTACAAAATGTGCCGGCAAAAATGGTTCTATTTAATTCGACCCACCGAATCCTCTCTATAAATTAAGATTGGTGTCAATTCGACGCACACTATTGTACATATCTCATTAAATATTGTTTCAAAGTGAATGTATATATTATATATTTTGATAATATAACAAATAAAGTTTTAGCTGAGAGTACTATAATATGTATTAGATTGACAGAATATTCTACACATTGAATTAAAAAGTTCACGCTACGTATGTGTATGTCATAAATATTATCGACTGAACAATAAATGTCAATATCAGTAAAATCGTGCCGTTTCAGTTTGTGTTGACCCCAACACCTCACACCATGCGTTGGTGTTTGTGATTACATGCAGCATAGAAGATAATAATTAGTGACGGGAAACCTTTAATTAACTAACAATGTTAAAGGGAGATCCACGTTGCGTGTCCTATTAAAAGTTCCGGAGAACCAAATAGATTTTTTTCTGAAATATTTAAGCATCTACAGCGTTACCAATTAAACTCAAAATAGACAACATTATAAATTCAAATGGAACGTCATGTGTCTTAGTACGTTTTCTCGCTCCGCTCGTGCCAAATAAACTCGTAATTCAAATTCCGCTTACCACACTTCTTGCATAATATACTATTTCGTCGATCGGTTAAATGGAATTAAAGTGTATTATTAGAGGTGAACTAGCAAATAGTTCAGACAAACTAAATTCTCTGATTTTAGTACTTCCTTCCTAACAGGTTTATCTACGATTTTATAACGAATTTCTCACTCTCTATACCGAAAGAAAAAAGGGCACATCAGGTAACAAAATGTAGGCCGACTTTTTCCTTTCCTTACCCTAATAATCTAATTACCGAGAACCTGGTCGTTCTACGTGTTTTTCTCGTAATAAGCGATTATGTTAACGCCTTTATCGGTATGTATAAAAGCACATCATTGTTTCAATCAGTTCTAATTTGACTTAGTGAATACGGCGAGCATGGCGAGTAAGCGAAAAATTGGATCTCTAGATGATAAAGTTGCTTTAATTTGGGAGATAGAACGGGGAAGAAAAGTGATGTGAGACGTCGATACGGACTTACACCGTCGACTGTATCCACGATTTGGAAGTGCAAAGAAAAAATCGTTCAGGCTGAAACGGCAGGCGGTTCTAGTAAAAAGCTAAGAAAGCCAAACAACAATTACGTTTACAAGTGAAGAGTTGCAAGATTTTATGGTGATAGATCAGGATTTGCATACAACAGCAGACTTGACAGAGGAAGGCATATTACAACAATCACGAGAGGGTGAGGAAGAGCACCAAGAGGAAGAAAAAGTTGAAGAAGTTGATCTGGGACCACCATCAACCATTCAATAAGCCATGGTGAAAATACAAGTCAAAGTACGAGATGCGTATTGGCATACAAAAAAAAATTCATTAAATGTAGTTCTTAAACATCGCGTGATCCAAATATTAGTTTGTTTACTGCCCGAATCATTTTTTCTTTGCATTTCCAAATTATGGATACAGTCGACGTCCGACCTCATTTTTATTTTCTCCTCGTTCTCTCCCGAATTAGAGATAACATTTTTCGCTTAGTCGCCATACTCGCCATATTCACTAATTTATTGAAACAATGGTGTGGTTTTGTACATACGAATAAAGGCACTAACATAATCTCTTATTACTTACTATTATTATTATTACCTAATAAGTTTTCAGTAGAATTCATTTGTTAAAAATAATTTGAAGTCTGCTATAACTGATTAAAACATAAAGCTACTAGAGATATAGAGATTCTGCATAATGTTGATAATACTATAAAACAAAATTGAGAAGGTACAATCAACATAGGTGTCAGAGAAATTGAAAAAATATCAAAAGGACAGCTGACAAAAGTTCTAAAACAATTAATAATTTGGATTTAGATAACAGTTATAGAAACAATTGATAACTATATGTTTTTCACAAAACTTCTGGATTCCTCCTGCGCCGGTTTTTACTTAGTCGAAATTGCTGACATTTCGCCTATCATCCTGTTGGCTCCTTCAGAGCTTGACTGAAACTGTTTCATGTATAAAATATTTCGTTTTTTATTCCGCTCTTTTTAGCTTGGTTTGGTTTAACATTTCAACTGATAAGCAAATTAATATCTAATATTTGACAGAATCTGATTTTTCGGCCCTTATTGGTATCGAAATCTGCCTTAAAAATGCAGATATGAACTTAAAACCCCTATTTCTAGAACAAATAATTGGTTTTCCCTCTTGATTTCGAGCAGATCACAGTCAAAAACAGCGTTTTCATAACTTACATGCCTGAGATCTACCTTAAACCTACAGATAACTACTTAAAACGCAGCTTCCGGGATTGATAGTAGGTATTTCTTATTCATTTAAAACAGAATCCAGTCTAAGCCGGCCTTTTCAGGTCAACATCATTGAAATACTAGTCAAAATCGGCATCTTCGGCCTTTATTATAACGCAAACGTTAATAAACCAGCAGATATCGGCTTAAAACCTCCCTTTGTGGGTCAAATAGTTGCCGATTTCGGTTAAATTCCAGTGAGAATCTGCTTTTTCGCCTCATATTGTTTCGAAATCTACTTTAAAATGCAGATAAGAACTTAAAAACCCTATTTCTGGGAGAAATAAATGATTTTCCCTCTTGATTTCGAGCAGATCATAATCAAAAACAGCATATTTATAACTAACGTACTGAAATCTACGTTAAAGTTGCAGATACCTACTTAAAACCCCACTTTCTTGGATTGCTAGTAGGTTTTTTTTATTCATTTCAAACAGAATCCAGTCTAAATCAGCTCTTCCGACACATATCGTATCTAAAACCGCAACAAAACTGCAGCTATCAGCTTAAACTATCATTTTTTGATCCAAACCTTTTCATGGCAATATCGTTCAATTACTAATCAAAATCGGCATCTTCGCCTTTTTTGTAACGAAAACGTTAATAAACCTGCAGATATTAACGTCAAACCGCCAACAACATTTGTTTTCACAATCTTCGATATCACATAAAAATCTCATATTTTTGCCAAAAAAACGAGTAGAATAAACTACGCATGTTTGTTTGGTGTAACTCTTCATTCCTGTTTGATATTATTTTTCTAGTGTAATAACATTATGCCACATTTTAAGAATCTTGGTCTATTGAAGAGGTTTTCTAAACGTTTTCTAGGGATATTATAGGTCATCGATTTAGCAAATTTTTCAAAAAGGACACAAACAAAAATCAATTTCTGGGATTTTTACCCAATATGATGAAATCTTTAAATTCAACCGTAAGGTTTGCATACAAAGAAGATCAACATTATTTAAACGCCATATTAAAACGCTCATCTTAGATACAAAATATTATTTGCGATTATAAAAAAAAGTTATATTACAATTAATAATTCAACAATACAATTGATACATTTAGATAACAGCAGTTATAAGAACAATTGATAACTAAATGTTCTTCAAAATTTACAAAAAGAAAATTGCGTCTTTTATCTGTAAAACTTGTCGCAATTTTGGAATGAAGTGTGTTTTTAATTTATAGAAAGCCTCTCTTTCTAAATTAGCAGCCCCCACAGTACCTGAAACATTTTTGCAATAATCTTTAAATTGAATTACTGAATTTGCCAAAGAAGCAGAGATAGCCTCCAAATTAGTGAGTGCTATAGGTACTAAAGAATAATTAGTTTTTAGAATTTTTTTTCACTGTTGGATTAGTAAAAAGAGGTTTTGCATTTATTATAGCGACAGAAGGACGGGACAGGGATTTCATTTGGCAACAAAATGCAATAAATTCTCTGTTATTAGAAAAAATGCATGTTTTGTACAAAACAGATAAAAAATGCATTTTGCAAGTACGCCGACCTTTAATCGTAAATAAATGTTTACATATATAAAATATTTCGTATTTTATTCTGCTCTTTTTAGCTTGGTTTGGTTTAACTTTTTAACTGATAAGCAAACTTCTAATATTTGACAGAATCTGCTTTTTCGGCTCTTATTGTACCAAAAACTGCCTTAAAAATGCAGATATGAACTTAAAACCGCTATTTGTGGAACAAATAATTGGTTTCCCCACTTGACTTCGACCAGATCACAGTTAAAAACAGCGTTTTCATAACTTATCGGACTGAAACCTACGATAAACCCCCAGATAACTACTTTCCTAGATTGATGGTAGGTATTTCTTATTAATTTTCAATAGAATCCAGTCTAAACCGGCTCTTCCGACACATATCGTATCTAAAACCGCATCAAACTGCAGACATCAGGTTAAACTATCAATTTTTGATTCAAACAGTTACCTTTTCATGTCAATATCATTGAAATACTAGTCAAGATCGGCATCTTCGGCCTTTATTATAACGACAACGTT